TTTTTGGTGCTGAAAGCGGTACCATTTTTTTGCATGGAAATATATAGTTCTTTATTGTAGGCTGTAATTTTTAGGAATAACTCACTGAAATCTGTCCGAACAAGAGTCTAGTAAACATTCCGGATATGATAAAATTTGAAACACGAAATCATAAATTATAATTTAATAAATAATCATAAAAATAATAATATAATAATAATAAATTTAATTCAATAATATAATCAAACCAAAAACACTGAAATTTGAAATAGAGCGCCAAGTTCGCACATTGCTGAGCAAAGTCGTAAAATCGTTTTCAGTGCCTGATGACGAATTTCCCCCACGAATCATTATCACTCAATTCTGCAAGTGGTTCTGATTTACTATCGCTGCTCTAAAACCGCTTTTGACGTAAAGGGACGCTTTTTGGACGCCATGGACTTTTCTCAGTTTCCAGGCAGAAAGAACAGTCAAAATGCAGGCAGGGCGCCGGACAAAGCAGTAGGGACAAAATATATGTGAAATGCATTGAAACAGCAATGACAGCAAAAATGACATTTTTAAAAAATTTTAAATTTCCCGCCAGTTCCGGCGCCCGTACGTCCCGACGTCACAGGGACCAGAACACAGAAGCCGGATGCCGGCATTGGCCGGAGGAGATGGCCAGGGACGCTGCAGGGGACACATCGCGGGAGCGAAGGACAAGGTAAGTGCTGCAGGGACCCCCTGAGCAACGCCGCATGGTAAGCCCAGTGTAGCTCGGGGTTACCGCTTTTGGTATAGAAATTTTACCCCGAGCTACACTCGGGAAAACCGCCAAGGAGGTTAATGAAAAATTGTATTGTGTATTGCTCAATGCATTACACACTATACTGCCAAAAGTATTGGGCCCGCCCTCCAAATCATTGGATTCAGGAGTTCCAATCACTTGTGTGGCCACAGGTGTATACAATCAAGCCCCTAGGCATGCAGACTGATTCTACAAACATTGGTGAAAGAATGGGTCGCTCCCAGGAGCTCAGTGAATTCAAGCATGGTACCGTGATAGGTGGCCACCTGTGCAATAAGTCTATCCGTGACAATTCCTGGCTACTAAATATTCCACGCTCAACTGTCAGCCACCAAGTGGTAGGCCACGTAAAATGACAGAGCAGGGTCAAGCATGCTGAAGCACACAGTGCGCAGAAGTCACCAACTGTATGCAGAGTCAATAGCTAAAGACCTCCAAACTTGGTGTGGCCTTCAGATAAGCACAACAACAGTGTAGAGAGCTTCATGGAATGGGTTTCCTTTGCCGAGCAGCTGCATCCAAGCCTTACATCACCAAGTGCAATGCAAAGCGTCAGATGTCGTGGTGTAAAGCACGCCACCACTGGACTCTAGAGCAGGGGAGACGTGTTCTCTGGAGTGACCAATCACGCTTCTCTGTCTGGCAATCCGATGAACATGTCTGAGTTTGGCGGTTGCCAAGACTGCATTGTGCCAAGTGTAAAGTTTGATGGAGGGGGGATTATGGTGTGGGGTTGTTTTTTAGGGGTTGGGCTTGGCCCCCTAGTTCCAGTGAAGGGAACTCTTAAGGTGTCAGCATACCAAGACATTTTGGACAATTTCATGCTCCCAACTTTGTAGGAACTATTTGTGGATGGCCCCTTCCTGTTCCAACATGACTGCACACCAGTGCACAAAGCAAGGTCCATAAAGACATGGAGGAGCCAGTTTGCGGTGGAGAAACTTTACTGGCCTGTGCAGAGTCCTGACCTCAACACCATAATACACCTTTGGGATGAATTAGAGCGGAGACTGCGAGCCAGGCCTCCTCCCCCGACATCAGTGCCTGACCTCACAAATGTGCTTCTGGAAGAATGGTCCAACCTTCCCATAGACACCCTCCTAAACCTTGTGGACGGCCTTCCCAGAAGAGTTGGAGCTGTTATAGCTGCAAAGGGTGGACCGACTCAATATTGAACCTTACGGACTAAGACTGGGGGGCCATTAAAGTTCATGTGCGTGGAAAGGCAGGCGTCCCAATACTTTTGGCAATATAGTGTATGTTTGTAATTCAACATTAAAAAAAAGGTTTAATACAGTAATTTAAGAAACATATAACAGCATACAGCTAATAGCACAACACCTATACAAAATCCTATTGTTCTGCCTCCAGCAAGGAAATTCAGTGTTGATCTGCCTGCAGTATTAAATTTAACCACTAGATGGAGTGCAGAATGAATGTACTGTCTTAAAGAAACTAGAGACTGTTTAGCCTAATAAAAAAACACTTTCATTCTAAGAAAAGAAAATATATATTTTTTAAAAAGCCCAGTATGTATACTGCCATTTGTAAACGCTATAACTTTCACGTAAACCAATTCATTTACACGTATTGGTTTTTTTAAAATTTGTATTATTTATTTATTTCAGGTACTTATATAGCGCCGTCAATTTACGCAGTGCTTTACATATATATTATACATTCACATCAGTCCCTAACCCTCAAGGGGTGTACAATCTAAGGTCCCTAACTCACATTCATACATACACATACTAGGGACAATTTAGACAGGAGCCAATTCACCTACCAGCATGTCTTTGGAGCATGGGAGGAAACCAGAGTACCCAGAGGAAACTCACACAGACACAGGGAGAACATGCAAACTCTGGGCAGGAGGTGCCGTGGCTGGGATTCGAAGCAACGACCCGAATACTGCCAGGCGGAAGTGCTAACCATTTAGCCACTGTGCTGCCCTAGCAAAGACATGCAGCAGAATATATTTTGGCCTAAATTTATGATGAAATTTTATTTTTTTTATTTTTTTTACTGGACATGTTTAATAGCAAAAAGTAAAAAAAATAATGTTTTTTTTCTCAAAATTGTCTGATTTTTTTTTTTTACAGCGCAAAAAATAAAAAAAACGCACAGGCGATCAAATACCACCGAAAGAAAGCTCAATTTGTGGGAAAAAAATGACATAAATTTAATTTGGGTGCAGTGTTGTATGACCGCGCAATTGTCAGTTAAAATAACGCAGCGCCGTAACACAAAAAATGGCTGGTCAGGAAGAAGGGGAAATCCTTAGTAGGGCAAGTGGTTAAATACCGCAGAATCATTTTTTTTTGTGAATTGGACATTTTGTTACCGCATGCGATAATTTATGCAAATAAGTCATGTGACAGTGTTATCGCATAGGGAACTGACCCCTGTATGTACTACTTATCTGTTTTTCCTGATAGTTTCATCCCACCCTGATTTGTTAATACAGCTTCAAGGTTACATTCAGTCCTTCTTATTGAAGATAGGAGGGTTTAGCTGCATGTCGGGTTACACACAGGGAACCGTGTAACGAGGACAGAACACCTATATTCAGGGCTGGAGATAACAGGGTACCACCAGTCCTCTTGTACGGGGCCCAGGCCAGCAGAGGGGCCCAAGCAGCTGGGTGAATTGGATGTGGGCAGGGAGAGTGATCGCTACAGCGGGGGGCAATTACTGGAACCGATCCCCTGTATGGAGCAGATGAAAGATGGTTTCTTCTCCTCTCCCTTCCTCTGGCTTTCAGTCAGGGGCGGACTGACAACTCATGGGGCCCCTGGGCAATAGGGGATCATGGGGCCCCTGTGTCCTTGCCCACACTCAAACCACACCCAAAAAAGCCCATGAAAAGGAACCAGGGACACCTCATGGGCCCCCCTACTGACCCCGGGCCCTCGGGCAATGCCTGAGTTCCCCAATGGTCAGTCCACCCTTGCTTTCAGTTGCTACAGAGAGAGCCATACTGAGAAACTGCTACAGTAATTGCCCCATCACCCCCCCTGTACACCATACATTTCCCCCTGCTGCCCCCACACCTGTAATGTTTCCGGCTTCCCTCCTCTCATTCCCACCAGCAGCTGCAAGCAATACGATCCTTCAGTATGGAGAGTGGGGAAAGGGTTTGGTAAATATTTCCCATTTACCAGCCCCTTTCTTTCCTGAATGAACACAATGAGTTATTGGTACCAATCAATCATTGTGTTCATTCATAATTGAAGCATAGTAAACTGTTTTCTTGTGAGAATAGGGGAGGGGGGTGGCTTGTCAGGTTGGCTGTATGGGGCCCCTGTGGTTTGGGGGGGCCCTGTCAGGTTGGCTGAATGGGGCCCCATGGTTTCTAACAGCAGCCCTGCCTATATTGCTATACATTTTTGCGGATCCTCATTTTTTTTCGAACCAGAATAAGATTAATTTCTATCTCTAAACCGACGAGTTAGACATTCACATGTGATTGGAATTTCGGATATACACATAAAGATATGCGTTCATCGCTTGAAAACGTACACATGGTTTGATATGTTTCATGTACAGGAACTTAAGTGACCTGCTTGGAGCCCAGACCTCAACCCTACTAGCTTTTGTTTGACTTGGAATTCCAATTGCATGCAAGGTCTTCTTATTAAATATCAGTAGCTGATCTCACAAGTGCTACAATAGTTTATTGAATAACCTTTTTCAATAGTTTTTCAGTAACTATAACAGCTTTGGAATTACTTTTCGGTTTGTTTTTAATCCACAGCGCTGATGCAGGTGGATGTAACCGCATGTCCTCCCGCAGGTGAATGTACCCATCAGCGATCACATAGACAGTAGTAAACAATGGGTGTAATTTCCTGACATCATTGCTTACAACTGTATGATCTTTGTGATTAGTCACAGAGATCACACAGTGCAGAACCAATCAAAGTAGCCTTGTACTATGTGATAGCTGTGATTAGCCAAAGCTATCACAGTATTTCTCAATGACTACAGAAATGCAGACAGAGAGAGTGAGAAATTATTGCTCTTGAAATTTTATATATATATATATATATATATATATATATATATATATATTTTTTTTTTTTAACTCATGTCACCAGTCAGGGTCCCTAATCACTACCACCCACTCACAGTGTCCCTAAGAAATGCCGCACTGGTTACAGTGTCCTTGATAACAGCCATACATGTCCCTATTCACCACCACCCACTCAGTCGGGTGGACTGACAACTCATGGGGCCCCCGGGTAATAGGGGATCATGGGGCCCCTGTGTCCTTGCAGAAACTCAAAAAAGCCTATGAAAAAGGTACCAAGGGCATCTCATGGGGCCCCCTACTGACCCCGGGCCCTCGGGCAGTGCCTGAGTTTCGAAATGGTCAGTCCGCCCCTGCTCACAGTGTTGCTAACCACCGCCACACCATTCACAATGTCTGTGATCACTGTCACACAATTCAAATTGTCCCTGATCACCACCACACCAGTCATATTGTCCCTGATCACCACCACACCAGGCATATTGTTCCTGATAACCTCCACACCAGTCATATTGTCCCTGATCACCTCCACACCAGTCATATTGTTCCTGATAACCTCCACACCAGTCATATTGTTCCTGATCATCTCCAAACCAGTCATATTGTTCCTGATTACCGCCACACCAGTCATATTGTTCCTGATTACCACCACACCAGTCATATTGTTCCTGATTACCGCCACACCAGTCATATTGTTACTGATCACTGCTCCACCAGTTACAGTGTCTGTGATCACCGCCAAACCAGTTCCAGGTCCCTGATCACTGCCACACCAGTCATATTGTCCATGATTACCACCACACCAGTCGTATTGTTCCTGATTACCGCCACACCAGTCGTATTGTTCCTGATTACCGCCACACCAGTCGTATTGTTCCTGATTATCGCCACACCAGTCATATTGTTCCTGATTACCGCCACACCAGTCATATTGTTCCTGATCACCGCCACACCAGTCATATTGTTCCTGATCACCTCCACACCAGTCATATTGTTCCTGATCACCACCACACCAGTCATATTGTTCCTGATTACTGCCACACCAGTCATATTGTTCCTGATCACCACCACACCAGTCATATTGTTCCTGATTACTGCCGCACCAGTCATATTGTTCCAGATTACTGCCACACCAGTCATATTGTTTGTGATTACCACCACACCAGTCATATTGTTCCTGATCACTGCTCCACACCAGTCATATTGTTCCTGATCACTGCTCCACCAGTTACAGTGTCCGTGATCACCGCCAAACCAGTTCCAGGTCCCTGATCACTGCCACACCAGTCATATTGTCCATGATTACCGCCACACCAGTCATATTGTCCCTGATCACTGCCAAACCAGTCATATTGTCTCTGATCACTGTCATACCAGTTACAGTGTCCCTGATCACTACCAAGCCAATCATATTGTCCCTATTCACCTCCATACTAGTTACAGTGTCTGTGATCACTGCTATACCAGTTCCCAGTGTCCCTGATCACCGTCACGCTGGTTGTATTGTCCCTGATAACTGCCACACCAGGTACAATGTCCCTGATAACCACCACACCAGTCATATTGTCCCTGATCACTGTCACACCAGTTATAGTGTCTCTGATCACCACTGCACCAGTCGCAGTGTCACCTCACCAGTGTAAGCTAGCGATGGTGTCCCTGATTATCACCACACCAGTTCCAATGTCACCAGACCAGTGTAAGTCCGAAGTAGTGTTCTGGATCACCACTACTCAAGTCCCCCTGTCATCATACCAATGCAGCCAGCAACAGTGCTCCTGTCAACTGCCACATCATTGCAGTTTTGCTTCTGTCTACTGCCTGTACCAATCCTGACCTGTTTATTGACCATGTTTTTGCCTGATGCCTGGACCAATCCTTTGCCTGCTTGCTGGCTGTGTTTTTGCCTGCCACCTGAACTGACCCATCTACACATCCAGCTGATGACATTCTTGTGAGAAACCAGTTCAAGCCATCCTCTGTGGACAACTGCACTCCTGGAACCACAGGAACTCTTTTGTTCTCCCTTTCTTCAGTCTCCTGTGCTTCCTGGCCAGTGAACTTGGCATTCCTGGGGGCCCCCATGTACCAGTAGGCTAGGCTTACCTGACTTATAACAACTGGGACTACTGTAGGTGATGCTACGCTAAGCAATATTTTTTGACCGCTCGTATAGAGATGACCATTACAGTATATTGGTTTTGACACAGTTTTATTATTTATTTATTTCAGGTACTTATATAGCGCTGTCAATTTACGCCGCACTTTACATATATATTGTACATTCACATCAGTCCCTAACCCTCAAGGGGTGTACAATCTAAGGTCCCTAATTTACATTCACATACTTGGGACAATTTAGACAGGATCCAATTAACCTACCTGCATGTCTTTGGAGTGTTGGAGGAAACCCACGCAGGCACAGGGAGAACATGCAAATTCAGGCAGGTGGTGCCATGGCTGGGATTCGAAGCAACGACTCTAGTACTGCCAAGCGGAAGTGCTAACCATTTAGCCACTGTGCTGCCCTAGCAAAGACATGCAGCAGAATATATTTTGGCCTAAATTTATGATGAAATTTTATTATTTTTATTTTTTTTACTGGACATGTTTAATAGCAAAAAGTCAAAAATATTGTTTGATTCGAACCAACGACCCTAGTGCTGCCAGGTGGAAGTGCTAACCACTAAGCCACTGTGCCACCCAGTTGGTTGACTTGTGGGATATAGAAGATTCAATGTCTAGTATGACCATACTTAGGAGGAGTAGCAGAATGTGTTTTTGGGGGTATATTTCTATGTCCATACTGTGTGTGAGAAATTTCTCATTAAATTAACAACTTTGTGTAAAAAAAAATAATTTTATGTTCTTTCTGAAATTTCCAAAACTTGTGGCAAAAAAAATGAAGTCTTCAAAAGACTTACTATGCCTCTTAAAAATAATTTGGCGTGTTTACTCTTCAAAATGTGTTCATTTTATGGGTGTTTCCACTATCCTGGTGCTCTAGGACCACCTAAAATGTGATAAATGTGAAGGGGTAGTAAAGAAATTAGATGCATAATTTAAGCTCCTAGAACACCCTTGGACTTGGAAGGGGACTCCTTGGATTTTGGGCTGTTCTAGTACCATGAGGCCTTGCAAATAAAATAAATAATTATAAATTAAAAAATCACAATTTTTGCCTGTGTGTATTGGGATGCCATATATTAGGGTACCAACACCAGCAGGATGATAGCTAATTTCTGTTTCAATACCTTTGTATTAAAGATACGTAATACTGTATGTCCAGAGCCCTCATTTCAACTCAGAGATGCGTTTAAACAATATTCATAGACCTGTTTAGAGGTCACATACTCCTTATAGTTAGTCAATGTAAGAAGAAAATTTACCTTTGTAAAACAAACACAAACAGCAGGAATGAGAGTAAATTAAAAAAAAAGTAAAGAACAGATGCCAGGAGATTCCAGGTTAGGGAGAGGGGGATGCCAGAGACAAGCTTTTTTTTAGTGCAGTAGTAATCCATTTCTATTAGCCAAATGACATAAGTAGCAAGGATCTCTCAAAATATTTAGGGAGGTAGTACTTTATCCATGGGGACCAAATCAGCTGGAATTTGTGGGAGGTATCATCGAGCATTGCCACCATTTTTTTGTGGATTAGGTACCACAACATCTTTTGTTTAACCTGAGTTTTTGTCAGGATAGAGGACCACCATAATTTTGCCAAGGTTTGTTTCAATGTGGTAAGGAGAAACACCAGTGGATGAAATTGGTTATTTGTGCAGTCAGGTGGCTTCTGATTTTCCATTGCTTTTTTGGTGCTTCTCCGCCTTTTGGCTAAGATCAAGTGTAGTATCTGTTCTTATCAGTGTCCAGTGGGGGTGCTCCCGGCCATTCTAGCTTTGCGGGGATGGCTGTTGTATAGCACCCTCACTGGTATGATGGGGGTCCGGAAGGCTAGTACCGGAGGGACAGAAACCGGGGAGCGCCACGAGTTAAGCTGGGGCCCTGGGAGTAATTCCTTCGAGAAGACTGGAAAGACCCAGTACCTCCTGATTTGGACGGATCTACCTTGGTCTGGCCAGGGGCTGGGAAGGCAGAGAGTCCGCAAACACGGTGCCCCCTGAGTAGTCGCCTCAGGGGTGCTATGAGTAGCACTTGGGTGTGGGACCCCACGTTGTGAATGAGCACATGGTCACCGCGTTTAAAACACTTTTTGCACTGCGCCTCTAGGACCGGGCCTTTTGGCCAAGTCCTGGGCAATTTTTTTTGCTACAGGCCTCAGGGCCTGGTCACTGCACAATTTGGGCACGACCACTTTTTTATTATTTTTATAGATTATTTTAATTATTTATTTATTTTTCTCACCCCACGTTTGTCACTTTTACTTATGTGTGTGTTTTTCTCACAGGATGGAGGGTGTGGGTCCTCGGGCCTGCCCTGAAGTCTAGGGGGAGGATGTGTGGCCTTTTGGTTCCTTCCTCCCCTGTCCCTAGGGGGTTTTCTCTTCGGGAGAACCCCCTGGCCTAGTACTGGATGTCCGGCTTCGGCTGGGCATAAGGAACGGTGGTCCACCAGGCCTTTTGGCCAGGAGGACCAAATGGGAACCTTGTCCCTGTCAGGAGCTTCGTGCCCCGGGGGATCAGAGTGGTGGTCCAACCCCTTCGGGGGTAGGACAAAGCACACCCCTAAGTGCACTTTTTGTGTGGTGTTTTTGCACTTGCACTTTTTTGTGAAACACTTACGGGTTTTTTGTTCTAGTTTGCACGTTTGCGGACTTTAAAAAAAAAAAAAAAAATTGCTTTTTTGGTGCTTTTCAAACACCCTGGAAGGTAACTAATTTCACCTTAGCCAGTGGATGAAGTAAGGCCTGACATCGCTAGACAGGTAATTTCTATGCAAAGTCTGACCTCTAATGTGACGTTGTTTGTACTTGCCTATAATAACATCTTTAGCTGCCTGTATTGTTAGACTAAAACAATTTCTTTAACAGGGCTATCATTCATTAATAAATCCCTTTTGAATGTTTGCAAGCCTCTTGGTGGTTACTCATGTCCAAGCAAGAGGACCCAAACAATCCAGGGCTCCTCCGGGGTGGCACAACATGTGTAGGACCCATAAACAATAATGCACATTTTACCTATAGTATTTGTCCAACAGTTCAGTGCTTAAATATAAAACTGTGATGCAAACCCACTTGTGACCTATACAAACTGAAACATTTGTGTGAAAACCAGAATTAGTGAATATGTCCACCCAAAATGTGAATTGCCTCAAACTATGTTGCAGTCAATACCTCATTAAGATAAATGCATCATACATATGAAAATCAGCAAGTGAAAAAATAAAACAATATGTAAAAA